AAAATAATATACCCCCCTTATTAACCCCCCACACATAAAATAATACACTCCCCCCTTATTAACCCCCAACACACACACACAAAATAATACACTCCCCCCTTATTAGCCCCCTCACCTGTTCACGTCTTTGCAGGGAGGAGGCTGTTAGCGAGATCGATCCCTGGTTTATCTCTTAGTGATTAGTGAGGTCTGCAGCAGTCCTCACTATCACCCCCAGATAACCAGGCATCGATCCTGCTCACGTACATTCTTTCTTTCGGCCGGAGCTCAGAACTGTTAGAGCTCCAGCCGAAGGAAGCCAGAGCTGACGGGCAGCTCTGCGGTCTGCATTCGACAGAGATGCAGACCGTGGAGCTGCTCCCGCAAGTCAGATACGCGGTCTGCGACCGTGTGCCTGACATGTTAGCTGGCTGTGGTACCGGCTCGCAGGCCGGAGTTGGACTGCGGACCGGTACTTGGAGACCCAAAATTCCACTGGAAATGTTGAGCCCTGCTCTAGAGACATAATAGTTAGCTGGAAATTAAAACTGATTACTAGTAGTGTATTGACTATGGTGATAGCTCACGTGCTTCCTGTCCATAATTTAATGTTAGGATCATTTATATAATTGCCACAGTTGACACTGCTAGGTGTCATGGAGGTTACCTTGGTACGCCATCAAAATTTTGATATGGGGCCCTATGATTTGTTGTTATGCCCATTGCTGTTACTATGATACTGTAATCTGGAAAGTGGAGCTTAAATTACACCAGACATAATGGGGGGGATTTATCAAAGCAATTGCAAAAGTTTTAGTCTCTTAGATCGTTTTTTTAAATGTGTAAATCTGTCTTTTAACATGTGCCCCTGCTTTGACCTGAGCTTGCCCTACTTTTCCAACTGCACGTGTCTGAAACTGGAGCATCACCTAACAAAACAATCACAACTTAACCACTTGCCGTCCGCCCGTTGTAAAAAAACGGACGGACGGCACTGCAGCATTGGTGGGTTGCCGACGGCATTTTTTTTCTGCTCGCGTGCGCCCCCTAGCGGGCACGCACAGGCAGAAAAGAACCCGACCACTGCAAACACCCGTTACCTGGTGTTTCACATATAGACGATCGGCGGCTGTCAGGGTACCATGCACAGGCGTCCTCACACCACATGCAGGTACCCACGCAGGATGACCAAATTAATATGCCCACACAGGATTGGGTTCTATGCACACAGTTTATTTGCTACACATCAACAACACTACAAACCCCCTCAACCCCCCACAGGTTTAGCAGTGAAGTAATAAACCCACCGTTGGGACAAACACACACCTACAGCCAGGGGGAAGCAACAAGGAGGGGTAACAGGCCTGCAGATATATGGCAGGCCTCAGGATAAAAGAAGAGTGGTCAGGTA